ATTCCAATTTTTTTGGATAGCTTTATTATATTTAGATGAACAATGTTAAAAAGGAAAAAAATGATTTTGAGTTCATAAAGGCTAAGATCTTGAAATTCACAAAATGAATTATCTAGATTCGCTTTTGGAGATGACTCATTTTGACCATATCTAAGGTTCAAATTTAACTCTCTTTTTTTTTGGGAATTGATTATTGAGATGAAGAGAGTGTATGCAAAATTTGGGCCGCAAACATAGTTTTCTAGAAATGTCGTTGCATTATAATATGATACAACCGTTGCATTGCATCATTGCTCATATATATATATATATATATATATATATATATTATTTGTACTATATATGATACAAAAATAGTCATATTATATTATAAAAATATTATAGTATATTATATAATGAAACTAGCTCTCTTTAGGGAGAGAAGAAATATACATTAATAAAATAAATATAAATACATTATATATATATATATATATATTATATGGAAAATGCTTCTGTGAACCAATGGGCTCACAAGAAAAAATGAGCTCAATGGCTCAAATTGAATCTGGACCGATCTAATGATCACAGATACCCGAATGTTTGAATTTTAATTTTTTTTAACAAATTCAAATTACTTGAAATTTTAGACGTGTGTTGATAAAAAATAAGTGAATATTCGAAAAATATTAAAAAATTAATTTACATGAAAAAATAACCAAAATACCCCCATAAATTTTCAGGGGTATTTTGATCATTTTTTAATTTTATTGATTACTTTTTTTATATTTTTTTAAATATTTACCTAAAATATTATTTTACATGATAAAATGACCAAAATACCCCCATAAATTTTCAAGAGTATTTTGGTTATTTTTAAAATTTTACGGATTATTTTTTTATATTTTTATTAAATGCAGCTTGATGAAAAAAATATTTTACCTAAAATTTCAAACAATTTAAATTTATAAAAAAAAAATTAAAATTCAAATACTCTCAATCTGAACCATTGGGCTTAACCACTATTTTGTAAGCTAGTGGGCTCACCCTAGCATCTTCCTCNCTCTCTACTCTCTCTCGTCTTATATATATATATATATATTCTATATATACTATATATATACTATATTATTTATTAAGTACTATAGTATACGTATAC